ATGTCTATAACAGCCTTAGCTGTGCCAAGCCCTTTTTTAAATCAATAAGATCTTGATGCAAATGCATCAAATAAATCAATAAACTCCTGATGCAACTGCATCAAACTTAAAGACTCCCTTAGCTTAAAGACTCCCTTAGCTTCATCAAACCATGGTTCATCAATATCAACAGATTAACATAATTCTAGTATGAATATTACTATACATATTTACAATTCTTACAAACTTACATTCAAAAGCAAATGCTATAGGACTATTTACACTTTACAAACTTTAGCAAACATTCAAAAGAGATCTCTTAACAGAACTATTTACATTCTCTTCAAACAAGACAGAGGATATATGAATCATGAGTCACCACAGTCAAAATTCTAAGTGAACTCAAAACTGTTTCATTTCTGAAGTTTGGCAAAAGCTCAAAAAAGTCAGTTCTAATGACAATCTTAAAATTCCCCTGAAAGTTTGAAATCAGAGCCTAATTAATCAGCAGCTATGCTGTAACATTTGGGGCTATGCCGCCCCCCAGCCACCTTCCCCACCGGGCCCTCCCAGGCATCCTGTAGCCGGTCGCAGCACCCTGCCACAGTGGAAGTGCACTCAGCAGTGACCAGTTGCTGGTCATGGAGCAGTCCCTTTACTTAAATTTGTTGCAGCTCCCCTGAATGCAACAATTCAACTAAGTTCAAACAAGCAGCACTGAAGCTTCTCTCTCAGCCACAGAGGCAGTTTCAGTTAGATTTCCCTAGGAGAGATGGCCTACAGTCAAGGTAACTGAGCTGCAACAACGCTCCTTTCAGAAAGCTTTCTGCTCAGCCAGCAAAAAGAGACTGCATGACTTTGGCTGCTGGCTCCGTTTAGCTTTTTACTGTCCCAGTCTGTTTGTGCCTCCTGTCTCTGGGCCTGCCCACCTAGAGACCCCAGCATCCTGAGACCCTGAGGGCTCTCTCATGCCTTGTGCTACATGGCTGAATGCCACCCCAATGTTATAAGTTATGGTTCTCAAACAGCCCTTTAGGGTCCAGGAGGAAACCCATCTGCAACTAGTTGTGGCTGCTGTACCCCTGGTTCCATTTACATTCACTTACACTATATTACCCTGGGCATATGCCTGTTCAGTTATGGGAAACATTTGAAATCCTTGCACTTTCTCCCCTCTGCTAGCTGCTTCTCTAATACTGGCTTGAGGGGGGGGTGGGTGGGACGCAGGACTAGCAGCAAGGGTTTGCCATGTTCTGGAAGGCTTTTGTGCCAGGGCAATTACGGGCAACTTTGCCATTCTGATAGATGACCCCCTAGGTGAGTCTAATTCCACCCCTACAAAAGGAAGAGGAGTACCCTTCTGAGAAAGAGAGACCTGAAGAGCCTCCAGTTTGGGGGAAAGAGAAATTACTAAGTCTCTCAAACCCTACAGTTCCTCCCTTGTCTCATCCCAAGACTTCTTGTTCCTTAAACTAGGCTTCACGTCCAAGAGGGAACTGAACCTGATTAAACAATGTTGTAAAAGTGTTCTCATCTGGTGGCAGCTCCAGTGGAGCAGAGGGTTCCACCCATATCTGCCTCAGGGAAAATTCCCCCTTTAGATCAGGACTTAGATCTAAGCTGTCCTGAATTAGTGTCCATGGGCCAAAAGCTTCCACTGGAATCTTTTCTGGCCCATGTTCCTCATAATATTGTTGCATTCCGGCTCCAATTCTGCCCCACGAGTCTGTGTCCAGAGTCACATAATCAGAGAACTAAGGACATAGCTCCTCTATGAACTCCAAGAACCTCTGTACTTGTTGCTGTTCTACCTCAACTCCCCTAGTTTTCAAACTCTCTACAAGTGAATATACAGACATCTGCTTACTACTTCCCTGCCCCATATCGGCTTCTCTTTCTCTGACTGCTAAGTCCACGGTGGCTGCTCATTCCTGGTTGCTGTTTTCTGTGCCAGGTCAGCACTAGGGAAATTCTACTCTTACCCTAAATTCCTTCCTATTAAACATACATAATATCTGTATACCTAACCCTATATTTTTACCTAATTTAATAGAAATTGAGAGAGAGAAAGAGAGAAACCTAGACAGAGAAACATACTTGCTGTAGCCTAACTTAAACCATTCTGCTTTATCTAGTTTTTGCTCCCAAAGAATAAAATACCACCACCTTAATCTTAATATAAAACCATACATGTCCAACTTCTTCCACAGTGCTCCCTCCCCCACTTACTTCCTTTGCACCCAAGTCCCTAGTTCTGGCTCCATCTGTGGGAGGCCAGCTCTCACCTTTTCAAAGGGTTCCTATGAGGAGGAGAGAGGGATCAGAAACTTTTAGATAGAAAGATAGTGAAGAAAAGAAAGACAGAAACACAGGATAGCTTCAGGAGGACCTGGGTCGATATCCAAAGAACCCTTCTGCCTCTTCAAAAGGACTTTTTATAACAATGCCAAGGGGCAGGGCAAATGACCTCCCCCTTGCTAGCACCCACATGGCAGCTCACAACTGTCTGTAACTCCAGTTCCAGGGAATTTGACACCCTTAAGGACATACATGCAGGCAAAACACCAATGCACATAAAATAAAAAAAAATAATGTTTAAAAAGATACACTGTGTGCATTTATGATATCACCAAAGAATAAGTGATATTCTAAAACACTGAATTTTTTTCAGATGACAGCACTCATCAAGGTTTCAGATTTGTTTGAAATCAGAAAACAAAAGCTTGGCATAGTGGCACATTGCTATAATACCAATATGAGGCTGAGACAGGAGAATTGCCTTGAGTTGTAGGCCAGTCTCTGGTACAGTGAGATTCTGTCTAAAGAGAAATAAAACAAGACTTAGAAAACTGGCTTTTTTTTTTTTTTTTTTTTTTGGTTTTTCGAGACAGGGTTTCTCTGTGTAGCTTTGCGCCTTTCCTGGAACTCGCTTTGGAGACCAGGCTGGCCTCGAACTCACAGAGATCCGCCTGGCTCTGCATCCCGAGTGCTGGGATTAAAGGCGTGCGCCACCACCGCCTGGCAATTAGAAAACTGTTTTAAAAAAAATCTTAGACTAAGTTTTTTTTTGAGGTTCTTAGTTTTTAGGTCCACATTTTCACATTTCAGGAATCTTTGATGCTTGAGCTTTGGAAAATGATCACAAAGAAAGTACCAGAGTCCAAGAATCCCAAGAAATATTGCTGTGAGAAATATGCCAAACATTAACGTTGGTAACACTAGTAACACAGAACTTTCCTTAGTTGTAGGCAGGGAAACTAATGGCTAACCGTATGTATAAGCTTGGCTAAGTTATTTCCATGTTGCTGTGGAAGGTATATTTTATATGTGATTGACATTTAAGTCAGTGTCCCTGAATAAAGAAGATTGCCCCTAAAATGTGATTCATCCTCACCCAATTAGTTAAACATCTTAAAGGCAAGGGCAAGCTTTGGAAAGTAGGAATTCTCAAAACTGTAGCACAGAAACGTGCCTTGTTTGCCAGCCTGCCCTACACGTTTCCAGGCTTGCCAGGTCCCACAGCTGTGTATACCAAATTCCTTAAAGCCTCTTTCCCTCAGGGAAGATAGCGCAGTAGGTAAAATGCTTACCAGTCAAGTATGAGGACCTGAGCTTTAGCCCCAGAGTCTGTATTAAAAGCATATTTAATCCCTGGGAGCCCCAAGTCCTAGTGAGAGACGGCCTCGAGGAACAAGCTCAAGCTTAAGCTGTGGCTCTCAGGCGCTGGCTCTCTCTTCCCTCTGGTATTTGTTCAGTTTCAGTTTCTCAGAACCAGAACAGCATAGACTATTAGTCATACACATGACTAATAATTCCAACGTTGCGAAGTCCCCCCACTCACACACACTCTCCTGACCAAATGGTCTGCTATGGGAGGGCAGGCTGAGGCCATACAGAACAATTGGGTGTGTTGTGTAAGGACAGAGAAAGGCAAACAAACAAAAACATGGAGCTCATTCATGTTCATGCTTCAAGTAACATAGTTCAAACCCAATTCAGGCAAATCTGTGGAGAGCAAGTAAGCCAACAGGATAACAAGAACAAGAAAATAATAGTCCTTTAAGATGACAAATTACCTCACAAAACATTTTCATGAAGTCTAGCTTTGACCATATTACAAAAGCCAAGGAACTTCTACAGTCCCCGGATTTTACAGAGCGAAGTGGAGGTGGGTGGAGCAGACATTACCACTTCCCACAGATCAGTCAGGGAGCCTGAGGCTAGAGGGCTACTTGCCCTTTTTTTCCATATACCTGGAAGAGCCTTGGGCCTATGTGTAGTGGTGATAAATAAAGTGCGCCTTTGAGGCTCCTGGATTCTCCAATCTGCAGATGCTGCGATGGAAAGTAACCCTAAGCTTGCTTTCTTTGTGTCGGCAAAGACCCATGTCACATGGACATTTAGTCATTGCTGTGTTATTATACACAGAGCTTTTCTGGGTAAAGAAGTCATGAGAAACCTTGTTTGCTTTTGTCCAAATATGCTTTTTCTTGGGACTGGAAAGCTGTCTCAGTGGTTAAGAGCACTGGCTGCTTTTGCAGAAGACCTGGGTTCGGTTCCCATCACCTACATGGCCGCTCACAACCCTCCGACGTTCTCTCCTGCCCTCTACAGGCACCAGGCTCACACATGGAGCACATACATAAATGCAGGCAAAACGCATCAATCTACAAGAAAAACTTTATAAAACTTTTCCTTCGTGTCACCTGATTTTTCTTAACAGACATTCGTAAAAAGTAATCTGGGTTAGAAGGGAACTTAAAGTTTCAAAGTAAAGGTGGCTGAACCGTGAGAGCCAGCACACGGCGGCGGCAGACGCCATCTTCGCCGAGCTCCCACGCGGCGCCCGGCGCGCGGCCCTGACGTCACGGGGCGAGGGGGCGGGGATGGAGGCGGGGAAGCGGGGGCTGGGCGAGGCGGGGGCGGGGTCTCGCGGCGGGGCGGGGCCGAACCTCGCGGAGGGGCGGGGCGGTGGTCTCCCGGAGGGGTGGGGCAGGGCGCGGCGGGGGCGGTGTCCGGGCGGCGCGCGCTCCGCCCGGGGTCGGGCGTTTATAGCTCGGCGCTGGCCGGGCCCCCGGCGGCTGCGGTGCGGTGCGCGGGGTCGCGATGTCGGGGCTGCAGGCGGGTGCAGAGCAGCAGCAGCGGCGCGAGGAGTCGAGCGCGCGGGCCCCGTCGCCCTCTCGCTTCGTGCTAGGACTGGACGTGGGCAGCACGGTGATCCGCTGCCACGTCTATGACCGGATGGCACGGGTGCGAGGCTCCAGCGCGCAGAAGGTGACGGGGAGCGGAGGGCGGGTCTGGGGCTCTGGCTGCACCCTCGCCCTTTCTGCACCCCTAGGGACGCAGGTCAATGTGGCCCGGTGCTGGCCGCTCGCTTCCTGTCCCGGGAGACTCATGGCTCTGGCTTTACCTGGGTGGAACTGCGTGTATGCGAGCAGGCTGCGTGTGTGTGGACAGAAGGTGGTTTGTGATTTGCTTGGTTTTTCTGCACTCCTCATCGACCTTCCAACTCTTGTCTTCACACGTTTTAGTTCTTCAGATTTTGATGGAATGTAAACTTAGTTTTCAGTTATGTCATTTAAAAACAATTCCTTACATTTATTTATTATGTGTATCTGTGTGTGCTCACGTGTTATGGTGCACTTTTGGCGTTCAGAGGACAACTTTCTTGGGAATCCGTTTTCTCCTTCCACCATGTTGGTCCCTGGAATTGAACTCAGGTCGTCAGGCTTGGTAAAAATACTTTTACCTGCCAAGCCGTCTTACTCGTTGTCACCTTTGTGTTCCTAAAAGTGCTTGGTCCTCACATTAGCATCTGACTGCCATGGACATCGGACGTACTGAACAAGTTTTGAAAGCTGAGTAGTCCATACTTCTTTCCATCTTTGAGAATTCATAAAAATATCTTCTTCTAGCTTGAGAAGCCTGCCAAGCCATTGATTGGGCTTTGTTAGCAGAGCTTTAAACTGCCAATGATATTGGCCAAGAGCTAACACCCGTATTAATGAAGTGTTGATTTCTATGCAATGGTCAATGCAGTTGATTTGGTATAGTATTCTTATTTACTCGTTTCAATACCAGCATTATTTTATCCTCCTCCTCCACCTCCTTTTTTTTTTTTTTTTAAAGACAGGGTTTCTCTGTGTAACAGCTCTCTGGCTGCCCTGGATCTCGCTCTGTAGACCAGGCTGGCCTTGAACTCAAAGATTCACCTGCCTCTGCCTCCTGGTGCTGGGATGAAAGGCATGCACCACCACTGCCTGGCCAATACCAGCATTTTTTAATGTTTAAAATTTTAGTGAAGGGTTGGGGATTTAGCTCAGTGGTAGAGTGCTTGCCAAGGCCCTGGGTTCGGTCGGTCCTCAGCTTCGGAAAAAAACAAAATTTTTTTTAGTGAAGATGAGAGACATCTAACCCCCCTTCCCTACAGCACTGGACTCTTTTTCAGTGTGCTACCCTACTTCTCACTCTGTGGGTGTTTTTCATCTCAGCAATATCCCAGAAACCCACTGGCTAGAGTGAAAGTAAGCAGTGACTGCCTTGAGCGCATACTTTGAGGAACTAGACTTTTTTTTTTTTATCATTCATGGTTCTGTACTAGGAGTTGAGTTGAGATGGCCTGCAGCAGCTCCCTCTCTGGCTAGCTGTGTAAGAGCATGGTCCCCCCACTTAGTCCATCCCTGTTCCAACCTGAGAGGACAGACAAAAGGCAGACACTGAGCTCTTGTCTTACTGCAAGTCTTTATCACAAACACAATGATACTTTGTAGTTTTTTCTTATAATTCTAGTCACAAAGTACTTTTGCTTAAGCAGTGCATTTTAAATTTTTTTTTAATTTAATGAATGAGTATTTGGATCAAAAAGGAGACAGCTCAGCAGGTAAAGATGATTGCACATTGCTCCTAAGCTTGACACCCTGAATTGGACCCCTGGGAGGGACATTAAGAGAGGAGAGAACTGTCTCCTGCAAGTTGTCCTCTGACCTCTGCCTTTAAGCTGTGGCACAAGCCCTTAATCCCAGCATTCAGGAGGCAGAGAGAAGCAGGTGGATTTCTGTGAGTTTGATGCAGAGGCAGGCAGACCTCTGAGTTCCAGGCCAACCAGGGCTACACAGTGAGACCCTGTTTCAAAATAAGATGAAGTAAAAATAGAATAAATGATATACAGTTAATTAAAGTGCTAGGAATTCAGTTTACATCATGGGTTATGTGACTTAGCCATATAATTTGTTTCCGTCTTCTTTTTTAATATTTATTTATTTTGCATGCATTGATGTTTTGCCTACATGTATGTCTGTGTGAGGGTGCCAGATCCTTTGGAACTGGAGTTACAGACAGTTATGAGCTGCCATGTGGGTGATGGGAATTGAACCCTGGTATAGCTGAAGTTTTCCTGTGTCCCGCCCAGTCTGCAGCTGCCCAGACCCAAATAAACACACAGAGGCTTATATTAATTAAAACTGCTTGGCCATTAGCTCAGGCTAACTACTGACTAGCTCTTACACTTAAACTCAGCCCATTTCTGTTAATCTATATATCACCACATGTTCTGTGGCTTTACCTGTGTGCCATTACATGCTGCTCCCTGGATGTCAGGATGGCATCTCCTGACTCAGCCTTCCTCTTCCCAGAATTCTCCTTGTCTGCTTATCTCACCTATACTTCCTGCTTGGCTACTGGCCAGTCAGTGTTTTATTAAATCAGTGTACAAAGGCATTATTCCACAGCACCTGGGTCTTCTGGAAGAGCAGCCAGTGCTCTTAACTGCTGAGCCATCTCTCCAGCCCTGTGTCTGTCTTTTTAATGGAAGTCACACCCCTTCTAATGCAATGGAAGGATTATTCCATTAAATCCATAAAATTCCATAAATTCTTAGTATAGGAGGATTTGATTCATATAGCCAAACAAGTCATGTGAAAAAGAAATAAATCAAGAAGAGATGATCCTTTGGATACATGATCAGGACAGGCTTCCATGATCTTTAAGTTAAAATGGAAATCCAAATATGAACCTTTGTATTCAGTTTGTGTGAGGTGCCTCAGGAGACTCAGTAATATTTTCTTTTCATTTTTTATGGTGATGCTGGAGAACCCTACCCCACCCCCACAAGACCCTGCATGTCACAACCTCAACCCTAGTAGTTGTTTGTGTGTTTGTTTGTTTTAAAGCCTTTCTTGGGGCCATCAAGATGGATCAGTGGGTGAGGTCGCTTGCTGACAAGTCTGATGACCTGAGATGGGACCCACATGGTAGAAGGAGAGGAATGACTTGTCCAAGTTGACCTCTGACCTTCTTACATACTCTGTGGCATGAGTGTTTGTCCACACACAGAAAATACTAAAAACAAAACAAACAAATAAACAAAAAAGCAGGGTGGTGGTGGTATACGCCTTTAATCCCAGACAGAGCCAGGCAGATCTCTGAGTTTGAGGCCAGCCTGGGCTACAGAGTGAATTCCAGGACAGGCTCCCAAGCTACACAGAGAAACCCTTTCTCAGAAAAAAAAAAAAAAAAAGTCTTTTTAAGGGACCCTTAATATTGGTGTGAAATCCTAGAACAATGGTCTATAGTTGCAGCCCTCACCTGTATGTTTGATACTTCGTTTTAGAAATTGGAGGAAATTTATCATGCTCCTCCCAGTGGAACTGATGCTTCTGTGAAAACCCATAAAATGGAATGGATGGAAGAGCAGGATAGAAAGTCCCAGCATGGAGGCATGGAGCCCTCCAGAACTGGAAGAAAAGACTCTGCCTTTTAATCAGCAGATGTTTTCTTCTTAACTTTCACTGTTTTGTCCTGTTTGGGCTTAGACTTCCTCCGTAGGGGACACATTTTTCATGTTACACGTTTAGGGATCCAGTGGTTTGAGTTTGTTCCTAAGGATTAAGTGTGGAATCTTGGCAGCCAGTGTGGTGCTTTGGGAGCTGTACAATCTGTAAGAAGTGGGTCCTAGGGAGAAATCATAAACTCACAAGGGAGCTGTCCTTAGAGGGGATTAAGGTACTTCCCTGTAACAGCAAGAATACTGCCAACACTGCTTTCCTGTTCTCTGCTTCCAGTCTCTTCCTCCTCCTTTCTCTTCTCTCATCCTTCCCTTCTTTTCTTTCTCCTCTTTTGCACTCCTCCTTCCCACTCCTCCTTCCCCCTCCCCCTCCTCCCCCTCCCCCCTCCTCCTTCCCACTCCTCCTTCCCCCTCCCCCTGTTTTCCCTCCCCCCTCCTTCCCCCTCGCCCTCCTCCCCCTCCCCCCCTCCTCCTTCCTCCTCCTCCTCCTCTTCCTCCCTGCTCCCCCACTTTTGGTGACTTCAAACTCCTGTTCAAGACAAGTGCCTGGATCATAGGGGAACGCCACCATGCCTGGCTATTTCTTCTGTTTGTATGTGCTCCTGGTAGAATGCTGTCTCCCTCCACCATGGTAAGATGCAGCCAAGGGAGCCCTTGCTGACCTAAGAGGGCTGTGTGATCTTGAACTGTCAGCCTTTAAAACTGAACTATAAAAACCTCGGGTGTTTTGTTACAGCAACGGAAAACAGATAACTGTCCAGATTGGTGCAGTGTAGGGATGTAATCTTCAAGTCCCACCATTAGGTCTAAAGGTTTGGAGGTTTGAAGCGAAGTTACCTACATGAAGTTGTTTTGAGGGAGGAATTGTTTGTTGCAGTGGAAACATTCTAACATAGTCAGAAAAGCCTTGCAGAATTACTCGGTGGAAGGGGAGTAGGTTTTGTTGAACCTGCTTCTGAAGAACACACTAGAGAATAGCAGATTTTCCCCCCACATGACCTTGTTACTTAAGTCAACTCCCTCCGGCTCTCCAGTTTTCTTTATTGTGACCACTTCTTGTGCTTTGGAAAGTTCCTTCAACTGGTGCTCTTGGTGGGTTGTCTGCTCGTTTTTCAGTACCATGCTTTCCCGGGAACACTGAACTCTGGCTAATGTTTGTAAGCTCCCCTTCTCCAGAGAGTAAACCTAGTGCCGGTTGCCTGGTGATGAGAAGCAGTGGCGGGGCTCAGTGGCTTCAGGGAGCCTTACAAAGCCTTCCCTCCAGCATCCCTGGGTCTTACCTTTTCCAGGGCTCAGCCTTAGAATCTCCACTTTCTGCCATGGGCTGTTGTCTGAGAGTTTGGGTGACTGGCGCACTATGGTGATATTTTATTTGTATTAAAATGTTATTTGTATGTTAATAAATAAAGTTGCCCGGGGGTCAGAGCTATTAGCAAGCCATAGGAAAGCAGGGCAGTGGTAGCTTACGCTTGTAATTCCAGCACTTGGTAGG